CAACTATGCTTTGATTTCGACCCCAAGGAGAACCAATTGAAAGTAGCTTTCAGAACACTGGACCCTCCTCCAATTAACCTGGTAACTGATCTCTCCCTCTTCTCTTGGTTTGAGCTTTTAATAGTCGTGTTTTAGAAACATTATTTGGACAAAGTTTAACTTGGTTGGTGACCATGCATGGTCTTTTTTAAGTCCAGGATGTGTTCGACAGACAATTTATCTTGATTTGTAACTTAATGGTATGGCTATCTTTTGTCTAAAGCTTGCTTGCTTTGGTCCCAGACGGTTTATGTTGGCCACTGGTTTAATTTTTCCTCAGAGGTTGATGTTGTCCTTTGAGGTACATTTGTTCAGGTTTTTTTCCATTGGGGGATTTCTTTTCAAAGGCTTGTGTTGGCCTTAGGAATTGAGTGGGAATGGCTCCTACTTTGTTGGTAAGGTACTAAGACTCGAAGGATAATCTCCTTTGATAGATGAAAGTTGTTTATACTTAACCAAAGTTTGTTGGTCCTGGCCCGAGAGTTTGCGCTCGTGAGCTTGGGGCTCATCCTTCTTTCGATTCATTGGCTTGTATTTTTAGGCTGAGGCCTTGGATAGCCTTTTCTTATAAACCTTGACCGGTTCACTTTAGTTAGGATATTCCCTTTTAGGTAAAGTTTTCTAGTTACCCTTTAGGACTTTGTTCTAAGTCTTGGGCCTACGAGAGTTGCACTCTGGCCCTAGTCATATAAGCTAAGCCGAGATCGTCACCTCAAGGTGTTTAGGACTTAGGTATTTTTCATATCAAGGGAAAGGTTATGAGACTTTAAAGCCTTTTTTAAGGTCACCGGAAAAGGTAATGGTCCTTTGAGCTAGATTGACATGTTTAGGGAAAGGTTATGAGCCTTTAAAGCCTATGGTTGCATCCTTGCATCAATTTCGCTCAAGTGAGGTGGATTTTTAGTCCTTGTTATCACTTGGTAAATGTGCACAACCGCTTATTGAAATGATATCAAGCTTGAATAATAATAAACATCCGGATTGTTTTCAAAAGTAGTCAACGTCCATTATTCTACTGATAATGTTCTGGAAATATCAACACTGTTTAATGAGGACAAAAATGACTAAACTTTGACACAAAAATGGGGCTAAAACTAGAGTTAACCGTTGGGGTGTGATTATCCACTTAGATTTAGATCACATTGCCCTCGCCCTTGACATGCCTTATTCTATCTTCTCTCCTTGCTCTAGGTGTAAATATGGTATAAATTGTGTGCGTTCCATTTCCGGGGGATGGGCCTCCGGTCTTGTGCTTCCAAGACATAAGCTCCATTCTGGTATGTCTCAACTATATTTTATGGTCCTTCCCAGGTGACACTTAGCTTTCCCTGGGTTGGGCATGATTGGATTCATTTTTCTCAACACCTATTCTCCTACTTTGAAATTCTTTACTCATACACGCTGATTGTAGTAATTTTCGGTGCGAGTTTTGTAGACAACTTGGCGGAGCTGGGCGAGTTTGCATTTCTCCTCAAGCATGTCTAAGTCTTGACGTTGTCCCACTTTATTGGAGTTTACGTCAAAGTCCGTCACTCGTAGTGAATGGACCAAGATTTCAGGTGGGAGCACTGCCTCTATGTCGTATGTTAGGATAAAGGGTGTTTTCCTGCTATTAGATCTCAAGGTCGTGCGATACGACCACAATACTGTGGGTAATTCTTCAACCTAAGCTCCTTTAGACTTCATCAATCATTTCTTATGGCAATTGACGATTGTCTTGTTCGATACCTCTGTTTGGCCGTTGGCCTGTGGGTGTGCCACTAATGTGAATCAGTGATGGATTTGCTTTTCTTCGCACCACTCCTGGAAGGGACTGCCTTCAAACTGTGTGCAATTATCGCTAATTAGAATCCTCAGGGTGCCAAAACATGTGAGGATGTTATTCCGCATGAATTTTATGATATGTCTTCCCGTGACGATGGTCAGGGGCTCGACCCTCGATCTATTTAGTGAAGTAATCGACAGTGACCAAAAAGAATTTGGCTCCACCCGGGGCGGTTGGAAATGGTCCAACAATATCTATGCGTCATTTGTGAAAATGCCAGGGACTGCTGATGTTGGTTAGTGGCATGACGATATGGTTTTGGAAAGGAGCAAAAGATTAGAACTTCGAGCATCTTTTGGTGAGCTTAGACATATCCTTATAGATGTCTGGCCAATATACCCCTATGCGGAATATCTTCCTGGTGAGTTCCTGTGCACCTGCATGCGCTTCGGCTTCCCCTGCATGGCTCTCTTCTAAAAGTGGTTTCCCTTCGAAGTGGGTGATGCACTTTAGCCATGGTGCAATGTATCCCCTCTTGTACATTTGTGTGTCCTGTACAACGAATTGTAGGGCCTTGACCTTGACCTTCCTAGCCTTTGTGGGATCATCTGGGAGGACCCTATGTAGGAGGTAGTCTATTAAGGGCTTGGTCTAATCAAGAGCTGTTGTGATAACATCAACTTGCTTGTTGTTGATGCTTATCTCTGGGAGAATCTCCACTAAAACTTTCTTGGTTAGATGATCGAAAGATGTAGAGGCCAGTTTTCTAAGAGCATCAGCCCTCACGTTTTCAACTACAAAAAAGGATGATATGAGTGCATCGGAATACTATCAAAATATGACATGATTAGTTGATATTATGGCTAATATCGGACATTCCATGACCAATGAAGAGGTCATAGGCTACATTCTTGTTGGTCTAGGTCCGGGTCATGGTGATCTTTTCACAACTATTATAGTGGTCAGTAGCCAACGAGATATAACTCTACAAGAGTTCTCATCGTCGAAATTTCAATAAAAATGGACATAATGGGTCTAATAATCGGCAACGAAGTAATTATGGTGGCCGTGAAAGAAACTATGGTGGAGGACTACGTTATTGATGAATCATTGTATCAAGTATTAATCAAAATCAGAGTTAAACGAATGCAGATTGAACAAACGATGTAAATAAGATCTGGTTTCTGCTCATTTATGCTTTCAATTTTTTATAGAGAAAATAGACAGGTTCTGTAAAGGACTCTTGTATAACTCTAGTAAAGTTCCATATTTATAGGAACAGTGAAAGCATACAAAAAATACTAAGGCATTGACAATTAAGCTTCGTACGAAATATACCTCAGTAAATAAACTTAACAAAACATACGAAGGGTAAAACAAACTTCGACATATTACAATATAATTCGACCCTAACAATCTCCCCCTTTGTAATAATGTCGAACTTCGTCAGTTCAAGAGTATCTGTATAGCATACAGCATAACCCTTCGAATCTCAGTGTACCATGAGATTATTTTCTTCAGTTCCTTCTTATCTCCTTCGTTATTCTTCTTGCAACTATTCATACGAACAATGAAATTCATATATTGGGATGTTGTATATCTTTCCACTTCGGAAGCTTGAAACAAGAATCTTTTCGCCTTCCCATTTTTGTCTTTCCCAGCAAATACCATACCAAATGGCTTCAAACATATTTCTTCATCTGCATACTTCTTCAACTCAGGTTGAGTTAAAGGAAGTTCCATTGGCACTTTTACAGTCAATCCCTTTGCTGTAGCTAACTCAACATCAGTAAGTGCTAAACACTCATAATAGTTGTCAATGAAAATCTTGATGTGAGCCAACCCAAGTCGAAAAACTTCAGGATCAGTTTCTCGAAGATATGAAGCATCTTTATCCTTTAGCAACAATGCAACTTGTATAAGATTATACAAGTTCATTAGGGGAAAATCAGCCACAGAGAAATCACACATTTGCCCATTCGCCCTCGAAACAATAAAGCAAAGATTCTGCATCATATTTTCAAACAACACATCTCGCTTTATGCTTATCACCTTCTTTATCTTCACCAGAGACCAAATCTCCTCTGGAAGCTTTCCAAGTACAGCATGAAATCTGATCTTCATGTATGTGTACTCATCATCATTGTTAAATTTCTCAGCAATTTTGTACTGAGCCATGATGAACATCATCTCATTGATGGGAAAATCCAATTGACTCATATATGTATTGAGAACAACATAGCTTTTCTTTGGCTTCTTTTCGAAAGCATACATATGGTTATATGCAACTTTCGACTCTATTGTTTCATAATTGTAATGCTTTAAAGGATCACTCTTGTTCATCCCAGGTGGATCATTGGCACGAAGACGCATAATGCTTTGTACAATTCAGAGCTTTTCAACCTCAGCCTCTTGCTTCAGCTTTCTTTTCTTCCTTTGACTTTTCGACCATAACAGTTTTGCCTTTGTCTTTTACAGAGGAATTATCAACACTTTCCTTAGGCTTCGAACTGCTGCCACCTTCCGCAATCACAATTCCTTTAGAAATTGGTCTTGAAATTGGCTTCGTTAATATTGGCATTGTTGTCACAACAGTCGAAATGACTGGCTCAACAGTTGACATGGTTGGTTTTGTTATTGGAATCTTCGAAGAAAACACCTTTCCAACAACCTTTGCATCTGCATGCAAATCTTCACCACTAGCCTTCGTACCACCAACCTCCTTTTCTCCCCCTTGCACCCCTGTGAAAACAGGCGGGACATTTGTTGGAAGAAGGCTAGAAATGTGAGAAAGAGGAGCAAGTTGTTTGTGTAGAATAGCTTCAAAATGAACGAACTTTTGAGACAAAAAGTCCGGAGTGATAAACGGAGATGAAACTGATTTAACAGTTAAATCTTTGAGGTCCTTAGCAGATTGAGGACTTCCATAAAGCTTTGATTTTCCATTGTCGACAATTGAGTAAGTTGAGGACTCAAATCTTCGTACAACTTGACATATTTGGTAACAGCATCACAAATAATGTCAACTTTCTGATTAATCGAAGCATAATCCCGTTTCACAATTGAGATTTCCTTTTGCATATCCTGGCGAAGCTCTTGAATTTGCAAATTCACATCTTCCCTCACTTTCTTGACATCTTAAACGAATAACACATGTCGTTCTTTTACCAAATGCTTGAATTCTTTCACCTCCCCTCTAAACATCGAATTGAGAGAATTTAGGCCTTAATTCATCATTCTGATCATTGTGATCAATCTTCTCCAAGAGTCGAATCTCTGAATCTCGGACCATTCCAGAGACTTTAATCACCACCTTTGCTTCGAACGTTTTCAGCATATATCAACTTCCATATTAGAAACAGACGAATTACTCCCCAAATCTGCTTGAGATTGAAGAATAGAATTCAATTTCTTGTTGAGAATCTTGAATTGTTTCATTGTCATCAACATATGATCAGGAAAGTGATCTTCTTCATCATCAAACTGTAAATCTTCAAATGTGCCTCCAAAACCTTCATTGTCAGTATCCGTTTCAACAACAGGTGAAGTTTTAACAGGCGAATCAATCTTGGGTGAATCAGTGGATTGAGATGGAAAAAGAGTTGTAAAGGGTTGATGAAGTATGTGTTCAAAGGTTGGAGAACTTGTAGTATTTGGAATAAGAAAAGGAGGTAAGGACACGAAAGTATCTGCCATTGAAGATACAAGAATACCTTGAGTAGTAGCCTCAACTTCTTTGTTCGACTCTCCCTCACCCATGTTGACATTTACATCCGTATCAGATACGTGTGTAGAAATGCCTGAAGTTCGAACCTCCTCAGTATTTGATTCAGTTAACGAGACTTCGGGTGGGATGACAATAGTCTGCTCAGGAGTAGATACAGATTGAGAAACAATTGGTTCTGGTGTGTCAGGAACTACTTCTTCTTCGGAAGACGCCTCTTGGATAACCAACTTGCGTTGCCGTTTCTTCTTCTTTGAAATGTGTTTGGCCACATCTTCAGCTCTACGTTTCTTGGACAGAGGCGAAACTGGAGCTGGAACCTCTCGAAAAATGACTCCTTGATGAGAGAGTTGTGGTTTACGAACGTTAGAAGGAGAAGATTTTAACACAACATCAGAAGATTTTCGTGAACCCCTAGTCCTTTTCTTCAATCGTCGAAAAACACCAGATTTTGAAGGAATTTTCTCTGCCACTACTGTATCATCAACAGGTTCCACTGGTTTGATGACAACAGTCGAAACATTCACTTCAGCCGTCTCAGGCTTCTTTGGAGACTTTGTGGATTTGTGCATAATCTTCTCTGGAGACTTCTTTGATTTGTGCACTGGTTTCTCTGGTGTAGCCTTTGCATCCTTTTTAGAATGTTTAGACTTCTTGGAAGGACCAGCTTCTTCTTCCGACAATAATTTTCCAGTCTCAATATCTGGATTGATTGTTTTCAAGTACTCAACCAACACCGAATTTGTTGGCTCAACCCTCTTTAACATTGCATCAGGAATCCGAGCAATGTGTGTGAATACTTCCATATCATCCGAAACTTCCTTTGGAAGTGATACTTCAGAAACTCAGCCTTTTCTTCATCAGCAGGGACAACAATTCCTTCTTTATCATAGAAATAACCAAGGATTAAGCTCCAATACCTAGCACACGAAATGCCTTGAACCACATTCGTGTTTTCGACACTCTTTTGGAATTCCTTCCATAGTTGTGTAGAGTAGTCGACAGAGATATCATAATACAATCCTGCCACCATCGCATAAACCTCCATGCGACCTTTGTCTAAGCCAACACTTCGACCTGTCAAGCATCGAAGAAAAATTCCAAACAAGAAATTCCAAACAGTTGGCAGGGCTGACTTCTTGAAATCACTAATCTTCGTGAGTGGGGGTTGATGACCCATCTCATTAAACATATGAATAACTTGTGCATAAGAAAGATCAGTAACAAGTTGAGAATTGGGAATATCCAGAATCTGACAAAAGATCTTCTTGGACAAACGGATTTTCTTGTCATTCACCAGTTGAAAGGTGATGATATCCATTGCTTTGCTATAAGTAGCAGTGGATCCTGCCTGAGAAAGCCATGAGAGAGGAACTGCGAATAAATTGAACATCGCCTTTGAAAGAACAGAACTCTTCAATGCGACAATTAGCATCTTCAATTCTTCTGGATACAGAGACACATCCCCTTCCACTTGATAATTGGTGCTTTGAATCTTCATGATCGGTTGAGAAGTGATGTCTTCAGTTGTTCGAGAAGTAGAATCAACGCCAGCCATGATTAGGGTTTAGAAGCTTTGAAGAACAGAGAGAATTTGGGTATTTGAGTTCTTTTGTGAGCGTAAAAAGATAAAGAATCCGTAAATGCCCTTTTATATGTAACCCTTAATTTGAATTGAACGCGGGATAGGCATTGATTGAGATCTGACGTGGCACCTTAAAAGTCGCACCAGTCTGCCAATAAAGTTGCCATGCGTCAAAAAGTAACTGTCACATCGCCTTGAAACCAGAAACGTCTCCTCACACAGTCTGTTCGTGTCACCTCAAGGAATAGTAACCGTCATCAACCTTCGGATGGAGGTAAGCTCTTTCGTCTTTGGGTTTAGAGACGAAGTCATTGCTAGACTGTCGAAATCATCAGCCTGAGTTGGTAGTACTCAGAACCTCAAGGATTTCGTGTGTGCTGTGTGCCAAAGAAAAGATAAGAAACAAATTAACGAAAATTTGGATCTGTGATGTCAAAAATTTCGACACAAAAGCAGAGAAACCCCGGGCAAAGGTTACTTCATTAATTATCAAGAGAGATAATCAACTGCTTGTATATGTTCCCGTGAATTACAATCGAATACTTGTAGAGAAGTATCGAAGGGCTTCTTTTGTTAGGCTTATTGGGTGGTTTAAAATTTCGTTACATATCATCCTAAACATAAGGTGAGTAATTGTAACAGAAATTACTTGTTTGACCAGTGTAGTCAGTGACAAGTATGCTTTGAAATATGTTGATAGTAACTTTGAAAGCAAATGAAACTCATACAGAAATCATATTCATAAAAAAAATATTTGTTCTGGATCCTGTTGGGTAACAAACATCGTGGGTTTCGATAGTTTGATCAAGATCACGCATAAGAATAGAATATGATTTTGAGTTTCGAAAAATGGTACTGAAACAAATGTTTCGTCAAATCTGGAACATAGTTCCCCGTCAATTCCTTATTAAGATATGAAGTTGGGTTTCACTTTCATCACGGCCTCATGATGTCAGATCACTAACACAGAATTTTGATATATCTAAATCTTGATGGGTTGAATCAAAGATCTCTTGGATATATGTCTTCGTGTGTGCAAGTGTAAGAAATTTTGTGATGAAAAAGAGTGGTTATGAAGAACGAATTGTACCTCTGTTATTTTCGGACAAAACAGATAACTCTTAACTCATGTGAGAAGAGTAAGGTAGCTCAATCGACTAATGTGAATATAAGCCTGACTTGGGAAGAAATTTTCGTATGAAAAATTTCATTAAGGCTTTCGTAAACACACATTGAGTCTACAGAGGCTTGGGTCAACATGCTGCAGCATGCTTCTAGGGACAACCTAACTAGTACATAGTTGACGAAAGTTTACCTTCCCATAGAAACATAAGCATGACCCTTGAAAAATATTCGTGTTATCTGCACAATGAAAAAGAAACAAAGAGAATAACAAAAATCTTTTTGATATTTTTGATTTTTCAAAAAAAATATTTTTGAGTTTTTGTGAATTTTTCGAAAAATGAAACAATTAACAAAAGAAAATCTTTTTGGAGTTTTTGATTTTTCGAAAAGATAACAACAAAACAAAAATAAAATCTTTTTGGAGTTTTTGATTTTTTTTTCGAAAAGAAAACTAAAATACAAACTTACAAAAAACATTTTTACAAACAAACGAAAATTTGTAAACAAACTACAATTCGCCATTCTTACGAAAATTTGACAAACTAACGAAAATTGGACAACCTTACAAAAATTTGACAAACGAACGAAAATTTTGTACCACACAGCCAACATGCAAATTGTCGAATTCGAAGCGTGTCGAAGCGTTGACTATGAACAGTAACCGCTGAATGGCGTCTTATTGCCTCTGAATCGACACATTTGTATAACACACCTTTGCTATACATTCGAAATCCGTCCTGGAACTGAACTCGCTTCAATCATTCCCAAACCTGTCAAAATTCGAACAAACGATTTTTCATCCAAAGCTTTTGTAAAAATATCAGCAAGCTGATCAGTTGTTTTTACAAAATGAACTTCAATGTTTCCATCTTCCACATGATCTTTGATAAAGTGATAACGAAGAGCTATATGTTTAGTTTTCGAATGTTGTACTGGATTATGACAAATGCGTATAGCACTTTGAGAATCACAGTACAATGGAATCTTTTTCATATTCACTGCATAATCCCTCAACTGACTTTGAATCCAAATAATTTGTGATGTACAAGCAGCAGCTGCTACATATTCGGCTTCAGCAGTAGAAATCGAAACACACGTTTGCTTCTTCGACTGCCAACTAACCAACTTTCCATCCAAAAATTGACAACCACCACTTGTACTTTTTCGATCCAATGTACACCCTCCTAGATCTGCATCTGAAAATGCCTGAATGAAAAATCCTGTTTTCGAAGGATACCACAATCCTAACGAAATTGTTCCCTTGAGATAACGAAAGATATTCTTCACAGCTGTTAAATGTGGTTCTCGAGGATTTGCTTGATACCTAGCACAATTACATACAGAAAACATGATATCAGGTCTACTTGCAGTAAGATAAAGCAATGAACCTATCATGCTCCTGTATAAAGTAAGATCAACCGCAGGCGATTCTAACGAAGGTGTTAGCCTTGTGCCAACAGCCATTGGTACTCTTAACTTCGTGCTATTTGTCATTCCAAACTTTTCGAGCAAATTCCTTGTATATTTCTCTTGATTGATGAATATGCCTTCTCTGTTTTGACATATGTTTAAGCCAAGAAAATTATTGATTTTACCCATCATGCTCATTTCGAATTGGCTTTTCATCAAGTTTTCGAATTCTCTAGACAAAGCAGGGTCAGTAGAGCCAAAAATAATATCGTCAACATAAATTTGAACAAGCATCAGATGACACCCAACTTTCTTTCGAAATAATGTGGGGTCAACTGATCCTTGCTTAAATTTCGACTGTTTTAAGAAACTGGTAAGAGTTGCATACCATGCTCTTGGTGCTTGTTTTAACCCATATACAGCTTTATCTAAAATATATACATGATCAGGATGCATTTCATTTACGAAACCTGGAGGTTGTTCTACGTAAACAGTTTCTTCGAGTTCTCCATTGAGAAAGGCACATTTCACATCCATTTGATAGACATCAAAATCCTTATGAGCTGCATATGCTAAGAATATTCGAACAGCCTCGAGTCTTGCAACAGGGGCAAAGGTTTCTTCATAATCAATTCCTTCTTGTTGCGAATATCCTTTTACAACTAAACGTGCTTTATTTCGTACAATATTTCCATCTTTGTCGGTTTTGTTTTTGAAAATCCATTTTAACCCGACAATCGAAACATTTTCAGGTTTAGGAATTAATCTCCAAACCTTGTTTCTTTCAAATTCAGCCAGTTCTGATTGCATTGCAACAACCCAATCCGAGTGTTCCATTGCCATCTTAACTGTCTTTGGTTCAATTTTAGATATGAAAACATTGAACATGCAAAATTCTTGATGAGTATTTAATACCTCATTCTTCGCACGAATCTGAGCTCTTGTTAATACTCCATCTTGAGGATTTCCAATGACTTGATCTATTGGATGAGTCTTTGTCCATTTCTCTAACGGTGGATAAGCCGGATCAAATTCCAAAGGTGCATCTTCGTACATCTCTTCATTTTCAGATCCTACAACAGAAACATTATCATTTAGATCATGAAAATCATCATTTTGATTAAGATTTATTGTATCATTTTCCTCCTCAACACTATTATCATTTTGATGCTCCCCCTCAACAACATCATCCATTCTCCTATTCTCCCCCTCGAAAGAATGCTCCCCCTCAACCAGAGTATTCGAATCCAAGTGCTCTCCTTCGACTGGATTATCAAGCATACTTTCGCCAAGTCCAAGAGAATTCGTTGTTGAATTAACATCTACTATGTTTTGAGGAATTTCCAAGTCATCATTATGCTTCGAAGATTCAGAGTGATGATTATCATTCGCATGAACTTCAGCATCCACAGCCCTGTCAGGAATACCAAAAATTAAATCATAATCAAAATC